GCGGCAAGTGCTGCTGGGGGCACGGCGCTGGGGCAGCAGCGCGCGGGCGAGCCGCAGGTATGCGGCGCTGGGGCAGCCTTAGGAAGGGATGGGAGTCAGCAGGCCTCGTCGGGGCTGCTGGGGGTGTTCGGCTTTCAAGGGTACGGCCCCGGGATGTCAGAGTCGGCTGACCAGATGGGGCAGCCGCAGGTGTCGGCCTCAGGGCACGGCCTGCATGATGTGCCTGGAGGTGACCTCTCGGGAGGGGCGGGCCCTCAGACCCACTCTGGGCTGATGGGGGTGTTCGGCCATCAAGGGCACGGCCCCAGGATGTCAGAGATGGTTGACCAGGAGGGCGCTCCCGACTGGCAACCGCGGGCGTCGGCCCCAGGGTACGGCCCAGGGGGGAAGGCGGAGGGATTCAGCCCCTCGAAGTCGCAGCCTTCCCCCCGCATGGACTACGCCATCGGCAGCTCGTTGGGGGCGGACGAACTGGAGATCGGCGAGTTCGACATTCCTGCAGGCCAGGAAGGCTGCAGGCGCCGAGATCTCGCCTCGGAGGGCCCTGCAGCCTGCCCTGCGCGCCCCATGCAGAGCTCGAGCCCCCCGCTCGCTCAGCCCCCACAGCCGTGGGACGGTGCCGCCCTCCCGCGAGCCCCCGCCCAGTCAGGCTTGCCGCCAGGTTGCGCTGGCCCGCCGTGTGACCGTGGAGGCCAGCGCGTGCCCATGGTCAAGGGCGGCTGCTGCCTGGCCACTGCCAATGCGACGTCGCGGGGGCCGCTGAACGAGTACCTCGTCCAGGCGGATGGTCAGACCACCCTGGCTCTGGCTGTGCAAGAGCATCTTTGTGTGGCTAGTGCCCTTGACGCAGCAGCGGGCAGCCAAGGATGCAGGGTGGCACGGAGTCTGGAGTGCTGCTACACCGCCCACTACCTCGGCGACGGGGTCGGTGGGAGGAGTCGCGGTGCTAGCCCCCACTTGCATCCAGCTGACAGGGCCCCCTGGGCGGGATTCGCATGTGATCGTGCCTGGTCGTCTGGTAGCTGGGCATGTGCGAGCGGGACCTCGAGGGGGAGTGGTGGTGCTGAGCGTTTACCTGCACGTAGGGGAGGGCCTCTCGGCGAACAATTTGGGCACCCTCTGGCAGCTGGCCCAGTACCTCGGCGTCCTGGAGGCAGAAGGCCATCACTGGGTGGCCATGGGCGACTGGAACATGGAGGCGGACGTCCTTGACTTTGGCTGGATCCGCAAGCTACGCGCGCAGGTTCGAGCCGCAGACGCCCCCACATGCAGGCAAGGAAGCGGCTCCAATATCGACTACTTCGTGGTGTCCAAAAGCCTGGCGGGCTTCACCGCGGCGCCCCCGCGTCTGGACAGGGGGGCTAGCACGTGGCCCCACTGGCCCGTCCACCTGCCCCTGCGGTCCGCGCGGGTGGAGGCGTGGCATCAGGTCCTGGACGAGCCGAGGGCTGTCCCCGGGGAGCCCGCCAAGCCTGGCTGCGCCCGCGGCCCGCGGCGCTGGCAGGAGGTGACGCGCTGTGTCCAGGCCACGCACGACGACCAAGGCCTGCAGATCATCTGGGACCTACTGCTGGAGGGGGCCGAGACGGAGATCCTCAACAGGCGGCACCTAGTGGGACCCGCCCGCCGTACCTTTGCAGGGCGAGGCACGAGCGGGGCAGCTGCCGGCTTGAAGTGGGAGGTGGCTCAGTAGAGGCCACCCCAGAAGCGGAAGCTGCGGGGGCCAGAGGCCCATGCCTGGGCCGCGCTTGCTGGGTGGGCGTCCGAATTCCTCAGCGAACGGGGCCGCCTGGTCAAGCTGCTGGCATCTCTGGATAGCCACAGGCAAGAAGAGGGCAGACAGGCGGCGGCGGCGAGAGGCAAGTGCATGAGGTCGAGTGCGGCCACCCTGGCGCGCCTCATGATGTTCCTGGAGGACATCAGGGACCACGTGCACTGGCGCAACCTGCCGCCGCGGGCACAACTGCCTTTCCGTGCCGACGCCAACTGGACAGAGGACGGCTTCGAGAAGGGCCTGAAACGCGCGCTGGCCGAGGCGGAGGAGAGGCAAAGGAAGATGGTGCAGGCCGACGAGGCCCGCTGGAAGGAGTGGGTGGAAGAAGCCTTCCTGGGAGGCGCTGGTGCAGCGCACGCTGCATCCAAGGTGCCAGTGCTCCAGGAAGTACTGCCCGCGATGCAGGAGGAGGGGTCGGCAGCCCTGGTGGACAGGGAGATGAAGCCGTGGATCGACATCTGGAAGTACCACGGACTCACCAGCATGGAGCTGCCGAGCGACGCACACTTGTGGGACGCGCTGCCACCACTGCAGCTGCACGACATCCGCGATGTGCTACGCTCCTTCCCCTGGCGCACGGGAGTGGGCCAGTCGGGCATCCCGCCGAGGGCGCTGGAGGACCTCTCCGACGACGCCCTGCACGCCATGATAGCGGTGTTCCACAAGTGCGAAGAACTCCTAGCGTGGCCGAGCGGCCGCCTCATCAACACTATGGTGAGGCTGCCCAAGCCAGACGGAGGCAACAGGCTGATTGGCCTCATGCCGACGCTGGTGAGAGTGTGGAGCAGGGCGAGAAGGCCGATCACCAAGGCATGGGAGTGCGCCCGCCCCTCTTCCCTGGTCTGGGGCACGGGCCCTGGGCGATCGAGCTCCGACTCTGCGTGCGAGCTGAACCTGGCCAAGGAGCAGGCGCGCCTCGGTGGTTGGGACTCCGCCCAGGTGGCCCTCGACCTCTGGAAGGCCTACGAGATGGTGGCGCCCGAGGCGCAGCTGGTGGAGGCCCGCGCACTGGGATTCCCCATGAGGCTGGCGTGGATGCTGCTGAGCTCCTATCGGCAGCCACGAACGCTGGCAGCGTTCAACACTACGTCGGACCTCTTCGTGGCCTGGCAAGGCAACATCGCAGGGTGCGGTCATGCTAACTCGCTGCTGCTGGTGCTCACGCTCCGTGCGCTGCAGCGGGCGCACACCATTGCGCCATCGGTGACGCCGCGCGGCCTGGTGGACGACGTCACGCTGGACTGGGGCGGCCCACGGGGCGAGGCCGACGACAGCCTGGCGGAGGCTCCCAGAAGTTTTGCGTCGAGCATGGTGGAGCTCAGGCTGGTCATGCAGCCGCAGAACTCAGGCTACCTCGCGCCCTCCAGGCGGAGGGCGCGACTGCCGGCGCACTCCATGCAGAGAGCGGGCCTCACAGAGAAGTCTTGGGTGCGCAACCTGGGGCATGAGCTCCACGGGCGGAAGGTGCTCCGCACGCAGAAGAAACGCAGTCTGCAGGCCCTCGCGGCCAGGCGCAGCCGAGTGGCCATGCTCAGGCGGGCTGCGGGGAGGCGTGCCACTGCCCTGGTCGCCACGGGGCTGTCCCCCTCGGCTGGACATGGAGCTGGGGTGGCGGGCCTGGCGGATCGGCCTCTTGCACAGCTGAGGACAGTGGCGGCGGTCACGGCAGGGGCCAAGGCGGGCTGTGGCTCCGCTGCGGTCATGTTGCTGCAGAGGAGGGTGGACTACGACCCCATCTATGCGGCCACCATCCCGCTGGTGATGCGCCTGGCCAGCCACATCTGGGAGGGACGAGGATCCCTGGCCAGCCTGAACGCTAGCTGGTGCAAGCTGGCGGAGGCGATGCGAGCGGGCACATTGACCTGGGCTACGGCGCATGGCCCGCTTGGGGCCAGGTGGCTCACGCTCGGCCGAATCGGCTGGTCTATGACAGCAGCGTGGGCCCTGCAGTCCGACCTGGGCGAGACGATGTCCATGCTTCGGGTCGCCCCATCGGGACATCAAAGACGCGCTGGTGGAAGGCATACAGCGCTGGCAGTGCAGGCGGCTGGTGGCCCACCTGCCAGAGGGCCAAGGCGAGCCCCTCTGGCCCAGGGCCATCCGTGCCATTGCGTGCAGGGCGCGGCCAGCGGCGGAGCTGGGGGCCATCCAGGCGGTGTGGGCTGGGGGGCACTTCACCAACGCATGGAGGCATGCCCGCGGCTACACTGATTCTGACCTGTGCCAGGCGTGCGGGGGTGCCAAGGACACGCTGATGCACAGGTGGCGCGCCTGCCCTGCCCTCATGGCGCCGCGGGACGACGAGCTGGAACACGAGGAGCCGTTCCGCAAGCCGATCGTGGCGATGAGGCACCAGCTGGAGGAAGCCGAGCAGAAGTGGACCATCGGGGACAGCGAGCTGCCGCTGGCGTACGGCTTACCGCTGATGCCAGCGCTGCCGCCGCCCGCGCCGTCGGACAACGTGGTCATCGAGTGGGGCGCCACGCAGGAGGAGTGGCCGTCGGTGGTCTACACGGACGGTTCTGGGCACGCCTCCAGAGTCCCCGAGGCGCGCAGGTGTGGGTGGGCTGCAGTGGCCCTCAGGCCTGACGGGATCCCCCTCAAGGCGGCCTACGGGCCTCTGCCTGGGCCACGCCAGACCGTGGAGCGGCACGCGTGCCTGGCCCCGCTGGCGCAAGCTGGCCTCGTTCAGGTCATCGCCAGCGACCTGCAGCCCCTGGCTACGGAGGGCAATGGCGGCTGGTCCCCGTCGGCGCAGTCGGCCAGAGCGAGGCATGCCAGCATCTGGAGACAGCTTCACGCGGCCGTGGCGAAGCGAGGTGGGCCGCCGCCGAGGTTCCGTTGGGCGCCTGCCCGCCGCACCCTCCAGCAAGCGCTGGACGAAGGCTTGCGCCCACTGGACTGGCTTGGGAACTGCTGGGCGGATTTCTTCGCCAACCTCGGCGCCGCGGCCACCAGGCTGCCGAACAACACGGCAGAGGCGCTGCGCGCGGAGCTCCAGCGGGCCCTGGACACGGCCACGTACCTGGGGTGGGCGGCGGCGCGGATCTGCCAGCTGGACTTGTGGAGGCCGCTCGGGGAGGGCGGCAAGCTCCAACGCAGGCAGGCCTGGAGGGGGCCAGCTGCCCCGGAGCTCAGCCTCACGAGGCACGAGCACCAGGTCACCAGTTCAGTCGGGGTGCAGCGCGTCCACTGTGGGCGCGAGGCCTACACGGCCAAGGCAAGGGTGTTACTGGACTGCAGGCCTTGCCAGCCCACGGAGCTGGGCAGGATGCGAGCCCGCTGCCGCCAGGGTCGGCCCATGGTGAGCTCGGCCGCAGTCAATGCAAGCCTGCAGGCGGCTGAGCGCCTGGAGGAGGAAGAGCTCCTGCCCATGAGTGGAGCGGCCGCTGCTACACAGGGCCAGCGCCTGAAGTGGACGATGCAGCAGAAGGTCAACTACCTGCTGGAGGCGGGCAAGGGCTCCCCTGCTGAAGGGACTGTTGGCGCGGCAGCTGCGGGTCAGCCACAGGCACAGAGGGGAGGGCGGCCTGAGCCCCGCCTTGGCCCAGGACGGGGGCTCGCCAGCACTGGGCGGCGCGTGGGCCTGGAGCGGCCGCGCGAGGGAAACGACCACCGCGCCATCGAAGCGTGGGGCCGCTCGGGGCCTCTAGAGGCCGCCCTGGGCTTGCTGGCCGGCTCCTGGGTTGTTGGCCTGATGGGCCAGAGCCTTGCCTACGCGTCCTGGATGGAGGAGTGCGTCGAGCACGTGTACAGAATGCTGGACGAGGAAGTCCACCGAGGCTTCTTCATGCACAGCCGCGCCGAGACGCGCAATGCGGAGAGGCTGAGGCGGGTCGAGGAGTTCTGCGAGCGTGGCTGGCGGGGCGGCGGGCCTTTCAGGGAGTCATGCATCGACGAGGCGCTGCAACTGGAGGGCGAAGACAGGCAGATCAAGCTCCTGCGACTGCGCTGCTACCACGCTGCGGCGCGGGCGTTCCTGTGCGACCGTGGCAGCGCGCGGCAGGCTGGGGGACGGCGAGGGCCGCCCCACTTTACTTTCTTCGAGCCCGTTGGAGGAGTGGTTAGCAGAGGAGGTGGCAGGAGTCGGCAGAGCGGCGCACCCCAGAGGCGAGGGGGCTCGAGGTCCCCGCCGAGCGGGCGCCCCAGGCAGCAGCATGGCTTTGGGGGAGGACGAGCCGCGCCGCAGGAGCCGACCCCACCTTGGCCAGGAGGCGCCGAGGAGGGACCGCAGCGGCCAGAGGGGCCGCGGCGCAGGCGCAGCGCGGGACGAACGGCCAGCAGGTCCCGCTCTCCGCTAGGGCGTAGCCACCCTCTGGAACACAACGAGCCCGAGAGCAACAGCAGCCCCGAGCCTGACGCCGCGTTCGGCCTCGAGGCCCTGCGCTGCATGCTGAGGGCCTTCGCGAGCTGCTGGGTGTTCGACCTGCGCGACCCCGAGGCTGCGGAGAGTTCCTGGACTGCCTGGGCGGCGCAGTGTGCCCTCACTTGGCTCGCCAGGCCAGGCAGGGAGGAGACGAGAGAAGAGGCTACCAGGCTTGCAGGCTCCATAGGCCTGAGGGCGCTGGTCCAGGCAATGGTCAGGCAAGCCTGGCTCATGAAGGCCGAGGTGCGGCGCTTCACGGTGGAGCACCTGATGGACATGGCGACCCTGGAGGAGTGGCTGCACTTCGCCGCCGCGCAGTGGGCCACGCTGGATGAGGTCTGCCACACCATGGAGGACGTCATCGGAGAGGCAGTGGTCAACCTGCCTGGGCTGTCTGGCTTCGCGGGGCCCCTGCCTGGACTGGGCCCCTCTGGCACCAGCGAGCAGCCGCCCCGCCAGGCTGGGCTGCCGCGGCCCCAGTGCATCCGCAGCCGAGGGATTGAGGCCCTGCGGCGGCTGTGGCCAGGCACCTGGCAGAGACCTGGCGACCTGGGCAGCGGCAGCGGCGGCGAGGGCGACTTGCCGCACCCCGACGCGGCGCCATCGGGGTTGCCTCCGCCCCCGCCTGCGGCCGCGGCCGCAGCGGGGCAGATGCTGCAGCAGCAGCCAGCAGGGGCGGCCCAGGGCGTTCGAGGCGAGGCCGCCGCCGAGGGGGGCGGTGGCCCCAGGCTGGATGACGGGGAAGGCGAGGCTGCGGCTGCGCGAGGGGCGGAGGGCCTCCCTGTGGCGGCGGCCTGCGTTGTGGCAGCGGCGGCCGCGGCGGCCACTGAGCCTGGGGCGCTTGTGGCGGAGGTGCCCAGGGGCCGCGCAAGGGGGGCCCGCGTGGCCCAGCGCTCGAGGAGCCCTGCGCGAGCGGCAGGCCCCCGCACTCCGCGTGGGGAGGCGCAGCTGCCCGAGGCGCACCACGGGCACGGCATGCGCATCGCGGGGCCGTGCGCCTTCTGCTGCAGGTGCGGGGCGCTTTCGCAGCTGAAGGGCGTGGACCGCGCCAAGGGCCTGGAGGCGGCGTGCGGCGGCAGCCTGCCCCAAGGGCCGCAGGCCACGGCGGGCGAGAAGAAGAAGAGGCTCTACCTGAGCCGATTGCTGGGCGGCAAGGACCCATATACTGGGCGGCCGCTCGGATGAGCCTGGCCTCGGGCTGCTGGCGGGATCCCTGCTAGCCCCGCGGGCCTTCTGCTGGCTGGGCGCCTTGCGCTAGGCCACCTCCTGGGCGCAGCCTCGCTGGGGCCCAGGGCCTGATCGGCCGCGCGCGTGCGCGTGGCCGCCTGCGGCCTGCTGGGGCGGGCCATCCTGGTGCCAGGCCTGCAGCCGCGAGGGCTGCGCGGCCTCGCGTGTGCGTTCGGGCGTCCGCGGGCGGCTCTGACTGCCCGCGGCCGCTCCTTGGGGTGCGAGAGAGAGAGAGAGAGAGAGAGAGAGAGAGAGAGAGAGAAAGAGAGAGAGAGAGAGAAAACAAAACAACAACAAAACAGAGAGATCGGACCAGTGGGACACGCGTGTCCACAGGCCGAAGGGGCAAGCGCGGCGCACCTGCAGCACACTGGCCGGTGCTACGGCCAAAGGGGCCCTACACGCCCGTCTTGGGCGGTCGGCCTGGGGAGGAGGGAAAGGGAGGGGCGAGAGGGCCCCCCCCCAAGCGAGCAGATGGTGGAAGTGTGACGCTGCTTCGCAGCCGTCCGAGCCCACCCATTGGGTGAAGCGAAGCCTGCACCCATGTTTAGCATTTCGGTACTTCGCTGGAAGTGGCGGCATCCATCCAGCACCCCTTCAGGACCCGCAGTGGGGAAGGCCACAATGGACGCTGGCCAGGCGGCGCACGGGCCTCGAAGATGAGGTTAGCTGAGGCTTCTAGCGAGAAGCGTTTGAGCCGCGTGGAGGGCGGCTGCGACGGAGGCGGAGAATCTCGTCGCCGAAGGGACGAGCGAGGCCTGACGCTGGACGGTGGCGTGAAGTTCACGCAGAGTGGTTCGGTGTTGTCGCGTCTTGCGGCGGACCTGGTCGGAAAGTGACTGGACGTGCTCGAGCTGGCGCTCGAGCCGCGTCGAGCTGTCTGCCGCGGGCTGAGCTTGGGCCTGAATGGCTTCCCCCTGCGACGGGAGGGGGGCCAGCGCGGCCGTTTGAGCGGCATGCCAGGCCCTGCGCGCCACCGGTGAGATTCCCCAGCGCTCGGCCTGCGCCCGAGCGGGAGGGGAGACCCAGAAGAGGCGGGGCGCGCCTGAGGCGGCCTGGGTCCTCGTGGCGAAGGAGGGCCATGGGGCGGGGCAGGCAAGGGGCCACCACGGAGGGCAGGCCGGGGGTGCTGCGCCGCTGGTGTGGGGTGGTCAGTGCCACCGTGGTCGGCCAATTGCTGGAAGAAGTGGTTCGGCTCGGCGGCAGGCAGCCAGGCGTCGCCGCCAAGTCTCCACAGGTAATGCCCGTGCGGGAGGTTGACGTACGGTGGCAGTGGTAAAGGCCCGTAGAGCGTGACGGTTTCGCCACCGCTGAACGGTCGGGGGTCGCAGGGTGCCGCGCTGTGGTGCAGGTCTGGAGACACCGCGTTGTCGGTTGGTCCGGCAGGCTGGGGTGGTTGGTGGGCCGCGAAAGCAGGGGTAGCCCCGTCTCCCGCGGCTGAGCCTGGGAGGTTGCGTGACCGGCTTGGTGCAGCTGCGACTGACGGCTGGTGGCTGTAGCGGGGTGGTCCAGGGAGGTGCGGCCCTGGGGTCGACAGGGAGGGGTTCTGTCACCTGTAGAGGACTTGCTGGCGTTGCTCGTGGGGGCATCGCTGTTGTGCTCCCCCGCGCCGGCTGATGCGGGCATACGGCGCCGTCGACGGTAGGACGCGGGGCTGTGCTGCGCTGGCCCCGCAAGGTCGACGCCTAGGGGAGCGCCAGTGGCGGTGCCAGGTGCTGGGTCGGGCGGGTCCCCCGGTCTTTTGGGCTCAGGGTCGTTCGACCCGTCGTCATTGGCAAAGGGTGAATGTGATTGAACCAGTGGTGCCCTTCGAATGAGAACATAGCCGTGCGGTCACGCCGCTGGCGCGAGGCGGGCCCGCGTGAGGGTTCCGCTTCTGGGTGCGGTGCATTATGTTATGGTGGGAAGGGTGGGGCCGCCGGCTGCGGGTAGACCCCAGTGGGCTGGTGGCGCCCTTGATATTCTGGTGGGGGGTCGAGGCGGTCCAAGTGCGCATCCATAGCGTCGCGGCGTGCATCGTTCATTTGCTGAGTTGCGCGGTTAAGCGCGTGTCCCGTGAGCTCGGCAATGTTTTGGTGACGGTTACGGCGTCCCTTGTCACCTCGTTCCCAGGCTTCTTGACAGATTTCGTGCGCGTGGCGCCTCTGAGGGTCGGTCGCCTCCCATGGTGGTAGGTCCATGTAGAGCCCTACGAAGGCCGCCGTTGGGAGAACATCGAAGACCTCTTCGACGCAGTAGAAGAGCCACATTTGTTTGCCTCCGTCGGGATCGCAAAGGTCTGGGAGCCACCAGGGGATGAGACAGGCGAGGTGGTCGACCCATCTTGCTCTGGTCTCTAGAGCGTGTTGGGTCAGCGGGTCACTTGCGGCTTGTGACGCGCGGCGGTTTGGTGAGGTGTGCTCCCTGCCGTGGCTGTTGTCACGGTGAGTTTCCCCTGGGTCCAGGGGCGGGAGTGGTGTGTCCATTTCGCCCACGGGGGTCCTACTCGTGGTCGGCGTTGGGATGATGTCGCGGGATGGCCGCGCCTAAGGAGGAGGAGGAGGAGGAGGAGGAGGAGGAGGAGGAGGAGGAGGAGGAGGAGGAGGCGTGGGCGGAGGAGGAGGAGGAGGAGGAGGAGGAGGAGGAGGAGGAGGAGGAGGAGGAGGAGGAGGACGATGATCGAGGAGGAGGAGGAGAGGAGGAGGAGAGGAGGGAGGAGGAGGAGGAGGCGGAGGAGGAGGAGGAGGAGGAGGAGGAGGAGGAGGAGGACGACGATGATCGAGGAGGAGGAGGAGGAGGAGGAGGAGGAGGAGGAGGAGGAGGAGGAGGCGGAGGCGGAGGCGGAGGAGGAGGAGGTGTTGGAAAAGGAGGCCGCAGGTTCGATTATTTCGCCATATTAGAGAAGGTTCACCATTTACGACGTAAGTCGATCTGAGACGGAAAAAACGATTGGGACAATCGATTCTGACCGGATTCTGGTCGGGCGAGGTGCGTCGCCACCGCCCTCGCCATCGCTGTCGTTTTCGTCCTCCTCGTCCTCCTCGACCTTTTCGTCGTCGTCGTCGCCATCGCCGCCGCCATCGCCGCCGCCGCCGCCGTCGCCTGCCCGCCGCCGTGGTCCGCGTCGTCCGCGCCGTCCCCGCCGCTGCCGTCATCGTCGCTCTCGCCGCCGCCGCCGCCCCCCTTGGCCTCGTCCTCGCCTGGCACTCGCTCGCCTCGAGGTGAAGGCGCTGGCGGCGGCCTCGGAGGCGCGCCCCCGCCGCCCGCCGGCGCCCCTGTGCCCCCGCCCCGGTCTGGCTCCGTCGATGCTCGATCTTCCTGGTTGACCTTAGGTCCGGCATCTGTGATTCCCCCCCCCCCTCCCCTCCCTCGTCGATTTTCCATTCTCGATCCTGGATCCTCGATCCCTCCCCCTCCCTCCTCGATCCTCGATCCTCTCCTCGATCCTGGATTCTCGATCCCACCCCCCTCCTAGATCCTTCGTCCCCCCCCCCCTCCCCTCCCTCGTCGATTTTCCATTCTCGATCCTGGATCCTCGATCCCTCCCCCTCCCTCCTCGATCCTCGATCCTCTCCTCGATCCTGGATTCTCGATCCCACCCCCCTCCTAGATCCTTCGTCCTCGATCCTCCCCCCTCGATCCTGGATCCTCGACCACCCCTCGCCCTGAGGGGCGGCCCCCATCGGACGGGGCTAGGACGAGGACAAATCCGTTCCAGAGTGTTCTGGAACGCTATGAAAAGGCCGCGGCGCCCGAAACGTCCTCCAGAGCCGCCGAATCTCGGAGATTCTCGATCCGCCCCCACCCAACATTCTCCTCGTCCTGGCTTCGTTCTGCCCCACAAGCGGGATGCGGGGGCCTCCCCCCCGGCGGGCCCCGGGCGAGGGCAAAGAGTCGCCCTCGGGGCGCTGAATTCTGCACGAACGAAATGGGCACGGAAAGAGTTGGCACAATTCAGGAGGAACAAAAACACACAGACACAATTAATCTTCGATTCCCCGAAAATATGGGAAAATATGGGAAGTGGGGGGGAAGACAAAAACCCAGGAAATATGGGAAAATGTGGGGATTTGTTTTATTTGTGTGTATTTATTTGTGTGTCTTTGGGCCCCTTCAACAATGCCGAACAGCATATCCTGCTCGTTTTGAACAGGACTCGCTGTCCGCGCCGCCGCGGCCTGTGTCCACTCGAGACAGAAGGCCGCCTGCCCAACAGCGGCCGCTGATGGCTTGGGACATCATTTGTTGTTGGGCATTGTACACGCCGGTCGTTGAAAGTAGGTATTTCTGGATTCCCAGATCCCAATCTTCAAGAGTCGACACGCCTTTGCTGTGTTTTGCTATTCTCTGGGGGGGGGCCTGGGCCCAATCAACTCGATCCGCCTTCCTACCTCGTGTTTTTACCCACTTCTTCCGACCGACGTGTACCCTCTCTTTCCGTACCCGTTTCGGGCGTCCAAACGAGTTACTTGCCGGGAGCGCCGATCGGGACGATTTGGGAGCGCGCCTGGGGCGGCCGCGGCGCCCGGGGTGGCCCGCGGGCCCGCCAGCCCTCGGAGATGCCCGACTGGAGGAGGGAGGAGGAGGGAGGAGGAGGAGGAGGAGGAGGAGGAGGAGGAGGAGGAGGAGGAGGAAAGGATTTGGAGGACAAGGAGGAGGAGGAGGAGGAGGAGGAGGAGGTGGAGGAGGAGGAGCAGGGGGAGTTTTTGAGAAGTTCCTCAGATCCAGGTCGGGTGGGAAGGATGCGGAAGGGGAGGATGAGGACGCGGATGGGGAGGAGGAGGAGGCGGACGAGGAAGAGGAGGCGGAGGAGGAGGAGGAGGAAGAGGAAGAGGAGAGGGAGGGGGGAGTGATCTGGCTTTGTCCTCGTCTCACATGTGGGTTGTGGCTTAGCGTGTCGCTCCGGCGCACAACGCTTCGGCGCAACACGCTATCCACATCCCGATCCCCAGGCGTCAACTTCCCAAGCCTTTCCGAGCCTCCCGCCCCCTCGTGTGCTTGGTGGCGTGCGGGCCTCGCCTAGGGCCCAGGAGCCCGTCTGGGGGGCTCGGTGGTCCCGTGAGGAGGTTCTTCGGAGGTTTGGAGTTTCCTCGGACCAGCTCGAATTGTGGAAGGTGCGGGACGGGGACGCGGGCCCTCCTGGGGAGGATGAGGACGATGATCCCGCCTTTCGTCGAGCTGGCTAAGTGGTTCTGTGTTTAGGCGTGGCAGGCACCGCCCCACGTCCTAGACTAGAATAGAATATAATAGAATATAATATAATATAATAGAATAGAATATAATATAATAGAATAGAATATAATAGAATAGAATAGAGGAGGAGGAGGAGGAGGAGGAGGAGGAGGAGAGGAGGAGGAGGAGGAGGAGGAGGAGGAGGAGGAGGAGGAGGAGGAGGAGGAGAGGAGGAGGAGGAGGAGGAGGAGGAGGAGGAGGAGGAGGAGAGGAGGGAGAGGAGGAGGAGGAGGAGGAGGAGGAGGAGGAGGAGGAGGAGGAGGAGGAGGAGGAGGAGGAGGAGGAGGAGGAGGATAGAGAGGAGGATTAGGAGGAGGATAGGAGGAGGATAGGAGGAGGAGAGGATGGGAGGAGGGAGGAGAGGAGGAGGATAGGAGGAGGAGGAGGAGGATAGGAGGAGGAGGGAGGAGGAGGAGGAGGAGGAGGAGGAGGAGGAGGAGAGGAGGAGGAGGAGGAGGAGGGAGGGGAGGGGGCGGGAAAGTAGGTACAGGTACGTAGCGATACCGCTACGCTTCCCTCGCCGCCGCGGCTTGATTCGCCTCGAAATCCTGGTCAGAACGCGGCACAGCAGAGGTCCACCACGGAGTAGCGGTATCGGCGTATCTTTGTTTCTCCAGAAGGGGGGAGGAGGGGGGGAAGAGAGGGAGGAGAGGTCGGAGGAGGAGGAGAGGAGACTGAGGAGAGGGGGGAGGAGGGACGCGGGAGGAGGGATGACGCTTTGTGGAGGAGGGAGGGAGGTGATGACTGCGGTCACCGTGCTGCTAGTAGCCGACTCCCTCACGTTCTGTTCGCCTCGCGCCCAGGCCCGTACGTCCGGGTGGTGCAATCAGGAGTCGCAATCTGACGATTTGTTCGCTTCGAGCCCCGGACCTTCCGGCCCAGGGGCGTGATCTGGCTTCGCTGGCTCTCCGCGCCAGCCGGGCCAAGCAGCCACAGCAAAGGCACTTTGCTGCTTTGAGTATGGGAAAGGACCAGGGGAGGAGGAGGGAGGAGGAGGGAGGAGGGTGGATGAGGGAGGAGGGGCGGGGGGAAGGAGGGAGGACGATCGAAGGACAGTTGTTGGACCAACAGTCGAGCCTCATCCCTGGCCCCTCGGGCGAAAGCGCGGCTGCGCCGAGAGCGGCTCGCGCGGGCGAGAGAGGCTCTGCCAGCACACTCGCGGTGCTGCCTGTCGTCGAACGGCTCTCCCCGCCTGGCGTTGTTCTTGGCACGTTTCGTTGTACGTGGAGGGTTTCCCCGAAGGGCTTAGGCGACCCGTCCTCCTCCTCCTCCTCCTCCTCCTCCGCCGCCTCCTCCTCCTCCTCTTCATCCTCCTCCCTCCTTCTCCTCCTCCTCCATCCTCCCACCCCCCCTCCCCCCCTCCTCCACCTCCTCCTCCTCCTCCTCCTCCTCCTCCTCCTCCTCCTCCTCCTCCTCCTCCCCCTCCTCGGGTCGCCTACGGCCCCGGGGGAAACCGTGCAGTTGTACGTGACCCGCCTGTTCTCCAGGTGGCGGAATAGTGCAGCCAGACGGGCAGGACGGTGTGATCGCCAGTGCTTCCGCCCTCGCAGGTGGCTGCGTTCGTCGGCCTCTTGCCTGGTTCGGCAGCGAGCGGTCCTGGTGGTGCTCCTGGAGTCTTGGATGACTTGGAGTTGTTGCGGAGAAAGCGTCAGCATTCTGATGGGAAGCAGGCAGACGATGCCGTTGAGCTCCGTGCATTCCGCGTAGAAGTTGGCGAGGTCGAGTTTAGGGGCATTCCCCCCCCCTTGTCAGGACCACGTTCTCGGTTTCGGTGCACACTCGCGGGGTCCGCGACCACGTTGGGTCCAGTTCCCAGACGCCCTCTGCTGTCCTCGGACACGTCCGCGTGGTCTTCATCCTCATCCTCCTGCCCCTCTTCCTTTCCCTTGTTGTCTTGTCGTCGTCCGTCTCCGCCCCCTCATCTTCCCTCTTTGTCTGCCCGGCGGCACCGAAGCATGAAAGCCGCAGCGAGCACTGAACTAGAAAGAGGAGGAGGAGGAGGAGGAGGAGGAGAAGAAGAAGAAGAAGGAGGATGAGGAGGACGGCGTTGTCTTTCTCGTCCGACGTCTTCTTCTCCTTTCTCCTCCTCCTCCTCCTCCTCCTCCTCCTCCTCTGGTCGCCTTCTTCCTCCTCCTCCTCCTCCTCTTCCATCTCCTCTTTTTCTTTGTCCTCCTCCTCCACCTCTGGTCGCCTTCTTGCTCCTCCTCCGCCTCCTCCTCTCCCTCCTCCTCCTCCTCCTCCTCCTCCTCTTCCTCCTATCCTCCTCCTCCTATCATTATCATCCTCTTGCCTCCCCTCTTTCTCTTCTTTCTCCTCTCCTCCTCCTCCTCTTCCTCCTCCTCTTCCTTCTCCTCCCCCTCCTCTTTGTCCTCTCGTCGCTGTCCTCTTCCTGACCTGACCTTGCCCACGCCACGAGCGGAGTTTCCAGCGTTCCCCGCCGCGCCCCCTCGGCGCAGGCGGTTCGCATGGACGCCTCCTGCACGCGGGCGCGCGCCCCGGCGGACCGCGGCGCGGCCCGTGCGGCGGGAGTCCTGGCTACAGTCAACCTGCATAGTAAGGATGGGAAACCTTCCCAAGGGTGCCCTTGCATCTTCGCCTCCTCCGTCCATACTTCGCCACTTTCGTTGGCCGCGCCCCACTCGAAAAGCTTCGAAATGGGCGTCCAAGGCCCTTGCATCCTTATCGCGGATCCTTATGATACGGGTTGACTGTGCCCTGAAGAAGTGGCCCTTCGCCAGAGCAACGTTTGGTGAGGACCCACCTTCTCGGTGGTTCAAAGACGGGGTCGTGAGGGATGGGGGCCTAAGGATGTGAAGAGATCCAAGGGTGGATGTGCGCTGTTTGAGGCACCTCGTCTTCAGGACCCCGTCTGTCGGGACCCCATCTTCGACCTTCCGACCTTTGCTGCCGGCCCTCTTCGGACCTCTTCGTTGGGTTCTTGCAGCGTCTCCCTGCCCCGGGACGCGCTCCAGAGGCGGCGTCGTCCCAGAGGGCCGCTGGAGGCCCGAGGCATGGCCCACGAGGCAGCCGCGGCCCCAGGCTCCCCGTGGTGCGTGCCCACCGGGGCCCCCACAGCAGTGGCTGGCGCGCTCGCACGTGCCCCCCTCGCAGCCTTGCAGAGCCGCGCACCCAGTCAACACCCATCGTAAGGCTGAGGTGCTCCATCAGTGCTACCCTCGCGTCCCTGCTTCTGCGGCCCATCCCGAGCCACTGTTGACGTCTCAGGAGCTCGAACTGGTAAATGGTACTTCCAAGGGTTTTGTATCCTTGCTTTGATCCTTACTGATGATGTTGACTGCAAGGCCCACTCCTGCCTGGGCCAGACCTCAGAAACCTGCGGTGGGACATCCGAACGGACGGTGACGACGTCATCGTCGTCGCCGTGATCGTCTGGCAGGCTTTGGGGGGCGTTCGCGAGGGTCTTCGTCGCCACGGGCGGCCGCAGCGCTAGAACAACTTGTCAGGATGCATCCCGTGACGGGTCCAGGGACCGATTTTGAAGGGTCCTGGTCCAGAGGCCGATGCCGATGCGTTTCCGTCGTATTCGCCTTCTTGGGCCTGCCGGGGGTCCCCGTGGCCACGGTCGGATCTGCCACGGAATCCTGGTCAGCACGCGCCCCTGAAGAGGTCCGGGGAGCGGCAGCCTCGGCATCTGTGTTTGTCCCCCCTGCGATTGCCAGTCGACAGTTGCAGAGGATGAGTGAAGCCGACGACGAGGGAGGAGGGAGAGGAGGAGGAGGAGGAGGAGGAGGAGGAGGAGGAGGAGGAGGCGGATGAGCAGCAGCCACAGCAGCAGCAGCAGGAAGGAGGATGAGGAAGAGGAGCAGCATGAGGAGGGCAGAGAGCCTTGGATGCAGCAGCGATGCTGCAGCGCACTTTCCTGTCCCTAGGCACCTCATCGTAAGTCCTTGCATCTTCCTCTTCGCCACTTAGGCGAGTGCCACATGGGCTTGCCGTGCGGGTGGGTGCATCGTAATGAAAATTGCAAGCCTGGAACATGTATCTCCTGCGAGAAACTGAATACATGTGATCAAACTTTTGAGTCCGTGGGCGTCATGGTGTGCGAGATGGCCAGGCGCTGGTCAAAGCGACCAGTGCGCTGCACCGGAAGCTGACACAGGCACGAGGCGGAGTAGCAAGATCCGAGAAGAAAAGACAAACACGGAGCCCGATCAGCAAAAGCAGGCCAGCGCGGGAGTGCCAGAGAAGTACATGCAACTGTGTGGGAGCAGCGGAACCACCGGCGCGATGTGGAAGGCCGTGTAGAAACCGGCGAGCCCCATGATGTCCGGGGGCAAAGATGGCGTCAACGTGTGGATCGAGAGATGAGCCTGCCTCGGAGATGAAGCCCGTGGTGCCAGATGGCAGGAAGTCCGGTACACACCGTGAACACAAGGGAATCCAGCAAAACTTCGGCTGAGAGTAGCCAGCCTTTGGAAAGGAATCCTTGTAGTGACCGACAGATAAGTTCAGGTGCGACGCTGGAGCGCAGTGAGATGTAAACCGGGTGATGGAACACAGACTCGGAAAGGAAGCTGTTCGTGTCAGACGGCTGGTAGTCCGGGCACACACTGTGCAAATGGAAAAGAGACCAGCAACCCAAGGCCGGGTGGCGGTCGAGGGGGCCAGGGTCATATTTTTTGCGGACAGAACCCGGAAGACCCTGCGGGGCAGCCCGGAGGCAGCGGCCAGGACAGGCGAAACAAGGTAATCAGTCGGGCAGGGGGCCCAGAAGGCGGAGACCCGACCAGCGGCAGGGAGCCCAGCGGGCGCAAACCTGGCCAGCGTGAAGGATCCGGTGACCCGGGCGGCGAACACCCGGGCCAGCACGGGAGAAGACTGCCACTATAGGGCCTCACGGCGGAGAGCGAGCCGGGCAGGTGCGCAGCGGCCACCTCCAGGGCCGGAGGTCCCCGGCGGGACCCGCGGATCGCCCCCGGTGTCGGCGGCAGCGCCACGCCCTCCTCGCTCGGCCCACTCCATGATGTACTGTCGAGTCCCTGGAGGAAGTCCAAACAGTGGTCACCTGGAGGAAGTCCAGACACTGGACACCTGGAGGAAGGCCAACATGTCCGCGGCCGCGAGCCGCGAGCCCCTGGAGGAAGGCCAAACACTGGACACCCGCCCGCCTCCCAGGGGGCGAAGGTGGCGCGCCGCCTGCCCTCGTCCTTCGCCGTGCAGCACGCGTGCCGACCACCGACGAATGCAGACCCGGCCGAGCGCTGGAGCCGCTTGACGCAGTCGCCAGGTGTCTCGCCGACAAGGGTCGAAAGCCGGGCGAGGGCTGCTAGAACCGTGGCTGCTAGAACGGCCCTCCCGGAAGGAAAAAAACAACTGCCCAGAATGAGGCGCGGCACGCGAAACAGTCAACGGGCTTCTTCCCGGAAGGACGAAGACAACTTCCCGGAGGTCGATTTTAGCAGCCACGGATTTAGCAGCCCTTGCCCGGCTTCGGAAAGGGTTCCCAGCGGATCAGCCCGCGGGGACGCTTGTGCAGACTGTCGGCGTCCCCTGCCGTGCGTGGCCACCTCGCGACGTCCGGGCTCTTCTATGGGCGCTCCCAGGCTCTCGCGGCCGCGGGCCGCCCAGGCCGCCCGCGCGGCGGAGGCGATCAGCTCCAGGGCCGAAGCGGGGACGCTGGTCGACGTCAGGGGCTGGGTTGCTGCGGTGCTCGGCGGCCGATGGCGTTCCCCAGGGTTGTTGGTGGCGGTGTCGACCGCGACCTCGACCCGGGCGTCGGCACGGGCGCGGGGGGAGCCCCGGGGTCCCGCGTCCTGCTCCTCCGCGACATCTTCGAGGCGACGTCGTGGTCGTCCTCGTCGCCCGAGCCAGGGCGCCGAGCACGGGTCGGCACGGGCGGGTCCGGGTCCTCGGCCGCCGTGGAGGCTGGGCGACGGCGGAGCGTCGGCCGCCACCAGGGGGGCCCAGGCTCGTTGGGAGCGGCGAGCTCGCCGTCTGGGTGGGCGGCGGCGCGCGCGGCGGCGCGGGCGGGGCCTGGGCCTGGGCCAGGGGGGACGTGCGCGCCGTTGCCCGCCTCCCTGGCCGAGACCCGGCTGCGGGAGCGTCGTCTTCGCGCCCTGCAGAGGCGCGTGCCGACCTCCAGCCACCAGGCGGCAGGTAGCGGCGGCGTCTGCCAGGATTGATATTGCTTGAGCTTCTTGAACTTACCTGTCTGTCGCTTGGAGGAAGGCCTGGAAATAACACAGCGGGCATGCATATTGCCGTGACGAAAGCTGATGCGGTTCGGCACGATGTTGGAATATCCGATCTTTTTGAATATTCCTAACATGGGCAGGTGGCTCCTGCGCTCACGCTGAGTAACTCGGGCCCACCTTAATTAAGAAACTCTGTTATTACACATGGGATCGGAAAACACCCCGCCCGCGGGCTGGGTGCATGTCGGCGCGGCGTATTTTTTACTCCGCCCGCTCCGTCTACTCCGCCAATCGTCAGTCAGATTGCATGCTGATCACATAATACACTTGTCTCTGCGATGTACATATTCTATAGTGTACATCTACATAAGGAAGAGTAAGACGGGGGAGAAGAAAGGATGGAAGGACCACAGGGTCGGACGGGTGGGTGCACCGAGGGACGGAAGGACGAAGGGGGAGGGAGGATGGATCAGATGGCATCACTTGAGATGACGCCATGTGTGCATCAATCAACCACTTCCGCCGTCAGGCATGTAGGCATGTACAAGTAGCGCTCCAGAACAAGACTCGCCTTCCAGGGGTGGGAGATGGACCCCTCTTCTTCGGCGGAAGGCGAGCAGAAACTAGCGGACGTAAATCGCTAGCGGGTCCGTTGGTTGATGGCGGCGTGGTGGAAATCAAGAGTATGTTTTGATCCAGGGGTTCCAAAGTACCGTCGCCGCTGCTCTCCACGCCTCTCCTGGGTCGCAGTCTGGCCGGAATTCCGAGACGGATCCAGCCGTGGCGACGAGACCTCTGGGCGAAAACGAGGGAGAGGTATCGGCGTCGGTAGTGGCAGATTGCCCGAGGGAGGCCAGTTGAGACGACGGCGCCCTTCCCGCCTGGCCCCAAATCTGCTCAACATCAGCCCCGGGGCCCCTCCCTATGCTGACCCGTTTTTCGGGGCGGACCTGGCCGTAGCGACGAGAAGCCTCCAGGCGGCCAAAATGGACAAAAGCGCCAGAGGGGGCCGCCGTTGTCTCGGCTTGCCCTCCTCCGATATCGTTCTCAAGGGCGCCCTCGGGGGCGCGAAGTTGTTCGCGGTTCGCGGTTCGGCTCCGATTCCTCCTCGTCCTCCTCTTCTCCCCTGGAAGGCGGCGCGAGAGCGCGAAGTGATTCGCACTTCGCGCTCCGCGCAGCGCGAAGCGCGAAGTTGGGAGCCCTCGGTTCTCTTCGGAGCAGGCGCGGCAGGTGAAGGGAGGGGCCCGCCGAGGCGCTGATGCTGCTCGGCACCGCGCGACTGCGGGTGGCGGACTACGCGGGCGCTCTGCGCGCGCTGCGCGCGGCGCTGGACACCTGCGGGGACGGAGGCGTCCGCCGCCCTCTCGCCGCCGCGCAGCCTGGCGGCTCTCGCGGGGCCTCGGGAGGAGGAGTAAGAGGAGGAGGGGGAGAAGGAGGTGGAGGAGGAGGAGAAGGAGGAGGAGGCTCAAAACGACTCGTCGCCCTATCGCCGCCGTCATCCTCATCGCTGGTCCTCGTCCTCGTTCGTGCAAGGGGCTCGGCGCAGACACCACGTCGCCGGGTCGGCCCAGGGAGCTCGGTGCAGAGACGCCCCGCCATCTCGGGCTGCGGGAGGCGGGGGGCCGTCTGTACGCCGAGCTCCTTCGCCGAGCTCCTCGGCCCCTCGGCCGGCCAGGCAGCGCGGTGTGCACATCCAGCCCCTCGGGGGGGCGCTGGCCGATGGGCGCCGATCCTGCGGCCGGGGGCCTGTCCTGGGCGCAGGATCGGCCCGGCCAGGGTGCGGCGCCGGGTGCAGGGTCAAGCAGTGGCGAGGCGCCGTGGCTCGCCCATGGGCTCACCGAAGGATGTTTTGAGAACCTGTTGCGGTTTGCCTGCAGCGTGTTCCGAACATGCTTGGCGGATAGACCGTTTAGTTGTCATACATCGGCTTCACGTTCTGGGAGCACTGCGCTGTTCTCAGAGCACTCTGCTGTTCTGGCAACGTGTTCGTTGCCGGTCGACAGAAGTGCCGGGACGGTTGGTCCCTGCTTTGCCACGTGGGCGCATTGCTGCGCATCCTCACTCCCGCCGGCCTGAGTTGCACGGCCACTGGCCCCTGGGGGCCTGGACGGTTCTCACCTGGCCCCTGCGGGGCCAGAGGAGTCTGGGGGAATTTGTGTGGATCGATGGAGGTCCAGATTGCCCGAGGCAGGTCCACAGAAGTCTGGAGAAGGCGTGCAAGACCACGCCCAGAGTCGAGGGACCAACAGGAGTCGTTCGGCCCTGACGTGGGCTCACGCCAGCCCGCTCCTGGGCAACGACAGGGAGGGATCAGCTCAGGGGGGAAGGCGTCGACCGCAGATCACCCACCGATCGCCAAGAGGTGCCCGATGGCCCAACCCGCCTGGAGACGTGGCGCCTCGATATCGGGGGCCTCACGCCGATCTGTCGGGATGAAAAGTGTGGGCGGAAGAGATAAACCCAGGAAATATGTGAAAATATGGGGAATCCTGTTATTTGTGTCTATTTATTTGTGTGTCCCATGGGCCGCTTCAGTATCGCCGATTCAGGCTGGATCTTTCCCCACCTGCGCCAGCCCCCCCCTATCATTCGGCCTTAGCCTTGGGGCCCCAGGCGTGGCCGGCTGGCGGGTCGCCCCGTTGCTGTCGCTCCTGTCTATGACATGTCATTGCAGTCTCCCTTCGTTTTTAAGTGGGCAGGCCCCGTGCTGCTCAAAGGCTGACCATCACGGAAACTGACGGGGGGAATGAGGCCCGAGGACGCACGTATGTATGAATGCACGGTTGTATGTCCGTGTTCATGTATGTGCAGATGTAGCAGGAACGAGAAACAATTTGGCCTGGCGAAGGGCCTACCCCTATGAAGCTGCGTGTAGCGCAGGGCGCGACTCTCTCTCTTTCTCTTTCTCTCTCTCTCTCTCTCTCTTCAAAGACTGCGCGCCGCGAGTTAGGCCAGATCGGGGGTCGCTGCGGAGCTAACGTTAAGCGCGTATTCTGAAGGCAAACTGGCCTCAAAGGATAAACTCTAAAAACTCTCATAATGCTCTGATTCAACTCTGATACAACTCTGGCCCGAAATCCTGTATCATCTCTAACTTTTTTGAAACTCTGATTCAGCTAATTATGGTTTGAACTCTGATTGAACTCTGATTCGGCTCTGTCCCCAGCCGCTGAAAACAGAGGTGAATCAGAGCTAATTCAGAGTTACGTCAGAGTCCCATACCAGAGCTGAATCAGAGTTTCAGCTAAACCAGATATGAATAAGAGTTTCAGGCCAGAGTCAAAACAGAGTTGAATCAGAGTGTCATTGGAGTTCTGGCAGTTCGGGGCAGAGGGCGCGGATTCCAGAGGAAGCCCATAGGAATCATTAGGAAATCAAAATGATGCCTCAGGACATGAAAAGTCGCGTCATGAACAAATCACGACGGGAAGTGTTCCGCTAGTTTCGGCATCCATGGCCCCCTGCCGGGCCACGGGGCCGTCAGAAAACGATTCAGGATGAAAAGCCGGTCCCGGGGAATGGGTCGAGACCTCTGGGGTCGACGTCATGGAAACATATCATGAGGTCGGGGTCTGGGTCTCGTTGGAGCATTGGGTCCGCGCGCGCGGCAAGAGGGGCAGTCGCGGAGCGATGCGCCTTCCCCTTTCTATACGGGGGCGGCGTGGGGATGGGGGCGACGAGGGATGTCGCTTTCGGGCGCGGCCGAGGCAGGGTGGGGGGGCCGGGACGCGAGCATCGCACAGCGCGCACAGGAGCACCCCACCCCCCAGCAGTCCCGTTGAGGGGGGGGGCCGCCGTCTCTCCGAGGCTAGCCGCAGCCCTCCTCTGCTCTTCCTCCGTGCCCCCCCCTCCTCCAGAGGGTCCTGGGGCCGGAAATTGCCCCCCGGGCCCCTCCCCTCAAACAAAATACCACCGCGCTTCTCTTTCCTCTCCTCTCTTCCTCCTCCTCCTCCTCCTCCTCCTCCTCCTCCTCCTCCTCCTCCTCCTCCTCCTCCTCCTCCTCCTCCTCCTCCTCCTCCTCTCCTCCTCCTCCTCCTCCTCCTCCTCCTCCTCCTCCTCCCCCCCCCCCCCCCACACTGGCGCAAGTCCTCGATTCTCGGCCCGGCCCCCCGGCCCTCCGCCCTCGTTCTCGGCCTCGCTCCCGCCCTCGTTCCCATCTTCGCTCTCGCCTCGGCCCTCGCTCCCGCCCTCTTTCCTGCTGCTGTTCCTGCCCTCGTTCCCGCCCTCGCCTCTGCGCTCGCTTCCGCCTTCGCTTCCGCCCTCGCTCTCTCTCCCCCCGCCCTCGCCCCCGCCCGGGGCGCGAATGTTTGCTCCGGCGCGCTAGGCCCTGGGCGCGAAATAAAGAGGGGGAGGAGGAGGAGGAGGAGGAGGAGGAGGAGGAGGAGGAGGAGGAGGAGGAGGAGGAGGAGGAGGAAGAAAGGCGGCGAGGAGAACGAGGAGGAGGGTCTCGCCGCAGGAGGGGGGGAAGAGGGAAAGGCCGCCTCCCCATCCTCTGCCGTTTCCTCCCTCCATGCCCATCCTCCTCTTCCCCTCGCTCTCTTTCCTACCTCGTCCATCCCCTCTCTCCTTCCTCCGCTTCCCTCTCCCTCCCTTTCCCTCCTCGCCCGTTCTTGCCGCCCCTCTTCCCCCCTCCTCCCTTCCCCCTCCCCTCCTCTTCAGTTTGTCTCATCCCTCCTCCCTGCATCTCCTCCCTTATCCTCCGCCTTCCCTCCTCCTCCTCCTCCTCCTCCTCCTCTTCCTCCTCCCTTGGCCTCCCTAGTCCCTTCTCTTTCTTCCTCGGTCGCCGCCGCCCACTACGCGCTGCCCTTCCTTGGCCCTCGGCCCCCGTTCCTCCCTTCGCCCTCTTGTTCCTCCTCCTCCTCGCCCTCCTCGTCATTCCCCTCCCCCTCCTCCGCGTCGAGCGTCAGACTTCGCTCCTCGGCCTCAGTGTCCTGCCCTCGTTCTCGCCCTCGGCCCCCCCCCCCTCGACCTAGGCCCCGCGCCCGGCCTCGTCTCCGCCCTCGCCCTCGCGCCTGCCCTCGCCCCCGCCCGAGGCCATTTTCATTTCAGCCTCTTTCTCTTTCTCGCCCTCGCCTTCGTTGTCGCCTGCGCTCCCCCCCTCGCTCCTGCCCGGACGCGCTTGCGAGGCCGCGCGCCCTCGCTCCCGCCGTCGTTGTCGCTCCCGCCTTCGTTCCCGCCCTCGCTCCCGCCCTCGCATTCTCCGGCCCTCGCTCCCGCCGATCCCGCCCTCGCTCTCGCCGTCGTTCCTGCCCTAGTAACTAGTTCCCGCCCTCCTTCCCGCCCTCGCCCCAACCTTCGTTCCTGCTTTCGCCTTCGTTCCCGCCGTCGCTCCCGCCTTCGTTCTCGCCCTTGTTCCCGCCCTCGCTCCCGCCCTCGTTCCCGCCTTCGTTCCCGCCCTCGTTCTCGCCCTCGTTCCCACCTTCGTTCCCGCTTTCGTTCCCGCCCTCGTTTTCGCCCTCGCTCACGCACTCGTTCTCGCCCTCGTTCCCGCCCTCGTTCGCGCCCTCGTTCTCGCCCTCGCTCCCGCCCTCGTCGCCCGCCCTCCGCCCTCGCTCCCGCCCTCGTTCTCGCCCTCGTTCCCGCCTTCGTTCCCGCCGTCGTTCCCGTCTTCGTTCCCGCCCTCGTTCCCGCCCTCGTTCGCGCACTCGTTCCCGCCTTCGTTCCCGCTTTCGTTGCCGCCCTCGTTTTCGCCCTCGCTTCCGCCCTCGTTGCCGCCCTCGTTCCCGCCTTCGTTCTCGCCCTCGTTCGGGGACCGCCCGCAGGCCGCCCGGGCAGCCTAAAGGCCACCCGGGGTAATCAGACTTGAAACAGAGTTTCGACCAGACCTCAAACAGACTTCAAACACACCTCAAACAGACTTCAAACAGACCCCAATCAGAGTTTGACCCCAAAACAGACCTCAAACAGACTTCAAACAGACCTCAGACAGACCTCAAACATACCTTAAACAGACCTCAAGCAGACTTCCCAGAGGTTCCCCGGAGGTGCCCCGGAGGTGCCCCAGAGGTGCCCGGAGGTTTCCCGGAGGGCGCCTGGGGGATTCCCAGAAGCGCCCGGCCCATGGGTCCACAGGCGCCCGAAAGAATCCCGGAGGCGCCCAGAGGCGGCCCCCCGCCCTCATTCCCGCTGCTGCTCCCGCCTTCGTTCCCGCTTTCGCTCCCGCCCTCGTTCCCGCTTTCGTTCCCGCCCTCGTTCCCGCCTGTTCCCAGCTTCGTTCCCGCCCTTGTTCTTGCCCTTGTTCCCGCCCTCGTTTCCGCCCTCATTCTCGCCTTCGTTCTCGCCTTCGTCCTCGCCCGTCGCCCCCGCCCTTGTTCCCACCCCAGTTCCTGCCCTCGCTTCCGCCTTCATT